CGACGAAGCTTCGTGTAATTATAAAATACGACTAAATAATAAGAGCTAAATGTTACGTTGCTCATTTTTCTTTAGATCAAGGATGGAATTCCTGATCAAATCTATCCAGAATGTTAATTAACACTTCGAAGTGCTTTAAATTTAATTACACTTATAAACGAAAGATGTCAATTAGATAGTTTTTCGTTGAAAAAGTGTGCACGAAATGAGCATTACTTCGTTACTAACTTCTACATTTGAAAATTCACAGCTCACCGGTTTGTCTGGTGTGAATCAGAAAAAGGATCTGTGAACACGTGTTCGCGGAGAAGGGGCGATGTCGATGTTTACCAAATTTCTCTTCTTAGTCCACACTATTTCTAAGAGTTTGCAAAGCTATGCTTTATCTAGAGGTCAATGAAACCACCTCACCGCCGTGGATAAAACGTCTAGGTATCTAGGATTTTAATAGCCCTCTCAACGAACGAGAAAAATCGTTCTGTTTCCGTGTTCTCCAATTTCAGACAGAATTCAATCACTTACCTCTGCAGTTTTTAAATTGGAATGTCCAGCAAATGAAATTGTTGCATCACGGGCACATAAAATTGTTTGATCGAATCGCACCACTAATTGTACGGCGAGCGTAAAGAGGAAAAGTTACGGCGGTTTTCTGTATTTCCGGTCGCGGTTAACGTAGCATCGTAATGCCGCGTCGTTGAAACTTGGCACGTTCTCTCCTCTCAAGATCTTACACGGCACTAGACCAGAGAATCGGTTATACCTATTCCATCGGACTGCACTGTGCCCCGTCAACCGACTGGACTGCTCTTATATACCAGGTGTCCGTGATCAACCGGCGCGAACACATCGTGCTGTAATGCGGTAGGACGCGATCTCCTAAAAGAATGGCGTGCCACCTGAAAGTGTAAGTTTCCCAGCTTACGGCTATTCCTTTTATTCGAGAGGCCGGGTCAGCTAAGATTTTTCATCGGAAAGGTTCGTGTTACAAAACTATCGCAATTAAGAACGCACGAAATTTATTTGGGACAATACCTTGCATGTAACGCGGCCAAACGTTCGACCGGCGTAGCATTTCAGTTAAGTAGTCCGTTACATCGTTTGAATTTACGGAAAAGATGCAAACATGATCGAAACGGTAGTAAATTCCACGTCATTTTGATGGAAATAATACGACCAAAGCGTCTCTTATGAGAAATAGCAGACGAGTAATAATAATTTGTGGAATTCGCTGTCTACCAATCCGAATGTTTGAACGAATTGAAATGAAAGTAACGGAAAAGTAACGTTTCATCAAAGAAATCCAATTTTAAGATAATGATGAAAGATATTCTTTCTCTCAAAGGATTCATACAGTTTCCTTTGAATAAATGAAACTTACATGAAACGAATTTTGACTTGTTTCTTTGTAAATGTAACTGTTATTTCACAGGTGAAACAGGTAAATTAAGAATTAAGATAAAGAACCGTGAACTTAATGTAGCACACATACACCACCGGCCAAATCTTTGGAACCACTGTGCATTGTAAGTTACACGAAAATTTCCGAGAAAAAGTTAGCAATTTTAAGAAACTCTTAACGAATTTTTTATCATTCAAATCAATGGAAATGAGGTAAAGTGCTATTGATCCCCACGACATCAATTTCAGATCCATAAAGAATTAGTAACAGATTCAATATCGATGTAAATTGGCAGGTGATTCCAAACTTCTGGCCGGTAGTGTATATGAAAGAAGAACAATTATTTTCTGATTACGAAACCAACAAATTAACAGTATATTTATAACGAATGACACAATCGATGAACAACTTATTTATTATTGCACAAATTATTGTAAATTTAATGTAGTGGCCTCAAGCTACTTTGAATAGAAACAGCTTTAATTCTTTAGGCGCTGACTTTTCCTACAAATGATGAGATGATTATTTTTTTTTTCGTCAGAAAACACGAATTCATTTTACATGACTCGCGAACGTATATAGGTACAGCTGGACGAAATTATGGTTCATATTCTAGTTGCCTGTTACACATAGCTGAAGTTCAACTAAATAGTAAATCAGTATTCCGTACAAGCTGTGATTAGTACATTCGCACTTGGCATTTGTAAGTTAACAACGCTCTTGGTTTTACTATGCTTCCTTCGAGATTATGTTATCACGATGACACTGTTTGAATTCATTACAAGCACATACTTGAATGTTTTATCTTAGTCTTGTATTACACGAAACACTTTCTGGCGCCACAGAATTTTGCCATTGACAATTAGCGAAATTTCTTCTTTCTGTGACAGGAACGAAAACAAATATCTGGATAAAAAAAAAAAAATGGATATCGTTAGATATCGATAGTTAAATATGAATCCTTGCTTTGACAGTTTTGAGACGAAAACTTTTTCAGACTTTTAATTCACAGTTCTTATGTTGTAAAGAAGGATCACAACTGGGAGTTTTCGCTTTCAATTTATAATTACTTATGATCTGCTATACAGGGTGTCCCGTAACTCTTCGGAGATCCGGAAATGGGGGATTGCTGGGGTGACACTGAACAACTTTTTCCTTTATCAAAATGTTGGTTGAAGCTTCGTTTTTGAATTATTAACGAAAAACACTGGCCAATCAGAGCGCGCGTAGAGCCCGCGCTCAGGGACGGCCGAACAGAGATTCACCCGCGCGCTATCGTGAACGTCGCATACGCGTGACTTCTCGGTTATTGATCGCTGTCAAAAAAATTTCACTTTGCACCGCTATTTTTATAAGGCTTAGAGAAATGGTTTTTTGTCGTCATTCCGACGTTTGTATAAATTTTTGAAAAAACTGCAATTAGTCGGAATCGCGAAGAAAATTGCGAAGGTCGTTTTTACAACTTTTATATCTGAGCTCGTAATGAAAATTTAAAAAATACGTTTTGTAGATCCATGTCAATTATACACAAGCTGAAAGTTTCATCGAAATCGGTTAATGTTGCTATGAGCTACAAACGGTTAAAGATTGTGAAAATCGCACTATTTCATGACTTTCGGCGTAAAACTGTAATAAATCTGCAGATTCTTACATCTTTCGATGCCTGTCGCTTGTTTCTCCATCCACCGATTTCGATGAAATTTTCAGCGTGTGTATAATTGATATAGATTTACAAAACGTATTTTTTTTTTTTCATGAATAACAAATAAGTCGTTTAATAACTGTGTTCGATACTTTTATTCGTTATCCGAAAAGAATAAAGTGTTTTATTACTTATGATTACAAAACGTATTTTTTTTTTTTCATGAATAACAAATAAGTCGTTTAATAACTGTGTTTGATATTTTTATTCGTTATCCGAAAAGAATAAAGTGTTTTATTACTTATTGAAAACTTACCTATTCGTTTACGAATTAATCTGCTTCGACGGAAGTGGGTCAGTGTGTCGATCCTGACTTTTCCAGGCAATCCGAAACAGCTGATGTTACGGCCGGGTCGGTGAACTCATATGATTGGCCCTCGTCAAACGTCGCCCGGCCTGCGGGGAAAGTGGGGGAAAAAACAGAAAACGTCTGTTGTTGTCGATGTCGATGTCTATTGTTTCTATCGTTTGGCGATACAGTGTTACACTGTTACACTGTTTTCACCTCAATTTATTAAGATATACATAAGTGTAATGGTAGGTATACAATTCGCCCGGAAAATACAACCGTTTTATACGTTAACTGGCCCTGCGGCAGCGGTTCGGCGGGTACGTCTCGACGGTTGGTAAAAGAAAAACTGAACTGTATAGGAAACCAATTACCATTTAAAATCAGTCTCTGTACAACCAGCGAAATTCGATTCTAGATTAAAGCTCTGTCTTATAAAACGCGTCCTTTGGCATATTAATACCCTTACCTAAACGGTATGCTTGTGTGACGGTATAAAACTTACGCCAGTGAGCACTTACAGAGTATTGAATCTACGGAATAAACCATATAGAAGTGCTCGCGCTCAGTCCGTCACAAAGTGGAGACGGTGTTCATCACATGTGTTTAAAGAACGTTGAAAAATTAACGGTGGAAGATTTGAAAGGACAGAATCGTTTCGATAACGAAAGAGAAACTTCTAAAGAGCTACTCGAAACAGTACTTATTTTTATCTTTTTGTTCAAATTTCACATTACTTTATAGTTATGAAGTAATAAGTTCCTTAGTTTTAGTTTGGTATAATCAGTCAAATTTAAATTATTATATTTTCGTGTACTATTAATATAGGTTTAATTAATTTTTCTTTAGTTTTTTCAGTTTTCTTTGTTTTTGTTTTAGTTTTTATTTTGTGTGCGCACGTATGTATGTGTGTATAATGTATGTTGTATTTGTAGTACACAATGGAATACACTTTTGAAGAACTTTCCGACATGCACCTGTGTCGTGATGAAGCAAACCGTGGTGCCGCAGTAGTCGGTAATGTCGTTTGCGGCGCCGAATGTCACTGTCTTCTTTCCCACGACTTGTACAAGGTAAGATGCCAGCCATGTGTCGTTGGTTTTGAGGACCACTGCATCCTCCGTGTCATGATATTTTCTACATTTACTGGTGTACAGATTGACCAACCAAAGCTGAAAGTTCAGGGAGGAGTTAGAGTCAGGAAGTTGAAAATGGGGGAGAATTTATGACGTTTTCACTGTTAATTAACCAATAGTCATCGAGTAAGGCTATCGCTTTTACTTTTCCACGAACAACAATAGGCGACGATCGCGTCTCGCGTGAGCAGTTGATAACAGATGAGCCATTTGTCAATTTTTGAGGTGCGAAAACGGTGGCTGCCGATTTATAACGGCATCCTTTTTTTAATTTCTGTCAGAAATTGTTGGGCTTTCTCAGCAATTTTTTAAAGCGCAGAAAACTATTCTTATCATTCTGGGATAAGAAAAAAATATTTACCTTTCATTTTTCTAAACCTTAAAAAATATTAATACATCCTTGAGGTTTCCTTACATTTCCTTTACAATAACAGTTTACTATATTTCAGTATTTTGAAGTGTTTAAGTATTTAAATGTTTGTCTTATATCCAAGTAGAAAGACACGGCGAACAGATAATTTTTTCACTTTCCTATTCACTTATCTGTACGCGACATTACCGACGGCTGGTTGAAAACCAGTTATCTATCTACATCAAACTTCCCCTCAAACAGACAGTCTATGACCGTAGAGTATGTAGTGGGGATGACGCGTCCGCCTGTTTTCCGCTCATTTGCACAGGCATGCGCGTTAAAATTTTCAGGTTAGCATGATCAACTTATAGTGATGTTTGCTCGGCTACAGGGATATTTTAAACATATTGGATTTTCGTCAGATCGTGCTAATTGCATGAGATAATTCCGCGGCGGATCCCCCACCATGAAGAAAACCCTTCACTTACTCTTGTGTCTAGTTACTGATGAGCCTAAGCTGAAGCGTGCTAGTTGCACGCGATCCTGCCAGTGGCACGAGTTGCAAGAGTGGTTTCACACAACCTTACAACCTTAGAGTGGTTCCAAGTTTTATAACAGCATAAATGTTTGACCAGTAGTTGCCGAACATATATTATTATTGACTATCGTATATTA